CTAAGGCCTCGCAGGCGTCGCTGGTTGGCGGCACGGAAAATGAGGCTGGTCTTCCAGTAGTCCGACCTTGGAACTCGGTAGTTCAAACAGGCAAGTTCTGCAAGTCTGTGCTGCGTCCTGAGCACTTTACACGTATTTTCTGATTGAATCTGCATACTGACATGGAGGCGAGGGCACACGGAAAGAGCTTGAGCCGCAGGCCCTCGGTCACACAGGCAGGAACTAGAGGAGTTAGGGTTTGAACCTGCCCACCAGGCTGGACACCTTCCCCGAGCTCACTCAAGTCCTTGCTGCGCCGCCCCAGCTGGACTCTGGGACTGCTTAGTTCCCAACTGGACACAGCCCTCCCTCCCCCTGGCATCCCATTCCTCCCAATTCCGCTGGAGTCCCCCTCTCAGTCCCTTCCTCACCACCACCCAGGCCCAGGGTTCTTGTAAGAGTTCCTGTGAGGCTAGCCCTCGGCTTCAGCGCGCCCCGTTTCCTCTGACCCAGCTGGAAGTGTGCTAACGTCCCTGTTCCTTCCTCCCTGTGCTCCCAGGCCTTAGTCACCGCTTCTCCACGGCCTGTCCCTCTGTGGTCAGGCGGGTGCACTGAGGAAGAAGATGGGTGTCCTGGCCACCCTGATCCCAAGAGCAAACGTGATCAAGGCAAAGTGTCCCAACGCCTCTCCAGACACGGGCTGGGGTTAACCTGACGCCCCACTGTAGCCTGGTTCTCCTCCTGGCCTAAGAGGAGCCACCTAGCAATAATTCTCAATATAATCATTTCTCCACTTTTTAGTTCTTCTACACAAATTGCGAAATATCACTTCCAAGAAGCAACTTCCACCTTAAAACAAGACAAAATAAAACTCTTGCCTAAAAACCCCGCTGATTTCTGGCTGGTCACCCTAGAAGACTGTTCAGTCACACTAGAGCAACAGAACCGTTGCTTGGAGGTTCAGAAGCTAGTGTGTGTGTCTTCCCCTTTCAGCGTGGCCATGGCTGACTCTCCCCAGGGTGTGGGGACCCAGGCTGGGCTGCGGGGCTCCTGCTAGCCCTCTCCCAGACCGCTCTGCGAAGTTAGCGTGAGTGCGATGTCATCCCTGCCGCTAACTGCAGAGTGGGACTGAGTAGGCGTGGGTGTCACAAGCCAGTGAGCTGGCAGTGCCTGTGTTCCCCAACCACCACTTCTCGAGTGGAAGCTGAGGCTCAGAGAGGCCCTACTCGGCCCCGGGTCCTGAACATGGCCAGGTGCTGCCCCCCGACCCCGTTGCCCATCACTGATGCTTGGACAGCTCCGGCCCCGGCATGGTCAGTAGAGGCTGCAGTGGACCTGTGTCCCAAGACATCCCAAGGATTCCTGGCCAAGGGTCAGCCTAGACACTCCCAGCAGCCAGCAGAGCAGAAAGTGCCCATCAGGGAGCAGGAACCCCTGTGGTCCCTGAGGGCAGAAACGTGCTTCATTGCTGTAGCCATTTCGCAAGTTCGGGGTAATAGGGGACAGGCACAGGCAGTGTGGGAGGAAGCAGAGGCCATTTCTTGGGGATCAGAAGTGGGCAGCAAAGTGTAAAGTGGGGGTGTTCTAGACTGGAGAGCTGGCAGCCAGGTGGGGTGAGTTGGGGCACCGAAGGCTGAGTTGGGGTTTGGGGCAGGACAGAGGATAGCCTCTCATTATAGCCCTACTCAGTGTGCCTGGGAGCTGTGGCTACAGGTCCCACTCGCAGGGGCCATTGCCTGTCCCCAGCGGGCCTCCTGGGCCTCCACTGCTTCCGGGGACTGCGGCAGGACAACTCCGCCAGGAGGGCGGCCCCGTAGAGGGCAGGTGCCCAGCGTACCAGGCCTCATGCAAGCCCACTGGGGACACGGACTTCTGCTCACCGCTATGGTCAGAGAGCCACCCCTGCAGACCAGCAGCCTCCTGGAGAGTGAGTGAGGGCCATCTCCCTAGGCCCCTGTCTCCTGGCCTGGGCCTGGTGCCAGCATTGGCAGAGACCAGCTGAGAGACGGACCAGCAAATGCAGGATGCCAGCTGCTTCCAGGCTTCCATACTGCCCTCCTCTCGGGATGCCGAGGACAAATCCCCCCCGGTTTTCTCTTACAGGTACGTGCACTTGCTGGAGAGAGAGAAAGTGAGAAGTGACCCCTCATGGTTTGGCCATGCTACAGTGCCTTCTCCGCAGTCCTGAGAACTCTGAGGATTCTGGGTACACATGCACACGTGCCCAGGATGTGTTCAGGCCGCCAGGTTCAAGACGCGCCATGCTGTCAGCTGTGGGGATCCCACTTTGACCTCCGTGCCACCTGTCAGCCCTGAAAGCCCTTCCCTTTCCTTAAGGAAGTAAGCCGCCTGGTAAAACAGTTCCCAGCCTCTCTTGCAGCGAGGCGTGCAGTGAGTACCCAGGCTCACCGTTACAGCTTTCTTCAGAGCACACTTCCTCCGCTCTTGCAGTGTGGGTAGACAGAGAATTTTCCAGACTTTCACGTTCTGGTTCCTTTTTGCTCAACCATTTCTTCCACTTATTTCTCTCTTCTTGCATTTTCCTATGGGCTGTAAAAAGAAGCCAAGCCACACCTTCGACTCACTGCTTAGAAATTTCAGCCAAATAGAAGCCGGCAGGTGGTGCGGTGGTCTCGGCACTGGACTCCCACGTGGCCAGCTGTGGCTCGGTCCCTGGACCCTCTCGTGCTCTCTGGTGAAATTACAAGTTAATAACAATAACTTGAATACGTTTTTTAAAAGGAAATTTCAGTTAAATATACCCAATTCATTACTTTCTTTTTTGAGAGAGAGATTTTTGCTATAGGGCGCATGCGCTCGCCAGAGAGACAGAGATAGGCAGGGAGACAAAAAGCAAGAACTCGCCCTCTGGGGGGATGGCCACACCGCCATCCCTTCTCCTCCGTTCTCCTCTCAGGATCTTGGGCACGCACGCACACACGCCTGGTGTGTGTTTGGGATTCGAACCACAGTCGACTACGTGGGAGTTCAGTGATGTAACCTTTATGGCATCTGCTAGTGTCACTATTTCATTACTTTCACGTTTTCCCTCCCACAAAACAGTTCAGCCAGTTACAAAGTTCTTCGCCACAGATAAGAGATCGCCTTTTCTCCAGTTCCAAGGGAATTTTCGTTCTTTCCACACGAGACCGTGTTCTGGTCACCTTTAACATTCGTACTTCTACCGTCAACCTGAAGTAAAGAAGTCTGCCCCAAGCTTGCCCAGCAAGCGGAACTGGTTTCTGCATGGCTGGACCTGAAGACGGCCGCCTGTTGCCAATGCTCTAAAAGGACTGAGTGTGTGGTTTTCATTTACAGGGAAGCGGGACAAAGGGAAAGCAGAGAAAAGATAACAGTTACAATGGAGAAAAGCTGCACAATTGTTTCTGGGGGTTTTACATCATCCACTTTAGATAACAATTTCAGTACGGGAGTTTTATTTTCTGTGCCAGCTTCAGGCCTTCATTTCCATGACGATAATCTTCTGTGCCAAAGCCCAGAACAGTGGCCCCAGCTCCTTTGACTCCCAGTGGTAAGCCCACATGGCTAAAGTCTCCGCTCCAGCCATGGGAGAGGGGCCGACGTGGCGGCATTAAGGACAGCAGTAACCTTGCTCTGCTGGGAGGGGGCTCACTGTTACTGGAGGCCTGGGGGAGCCCTGTCCACAGAGCTGCTCACAGCTCGTTCAGCCCCTCTAGGCCGAGGCCCTGGGGGCCCGGGGGTGATGGCACGCAGGGTGTCCCCGTGGTCTCTGGGGGGCACCGGCAGCTGAGGGTGTGGAGTACTCGGTGTAGGGCTGAGTGGGCAGGGTGTCAGCGAGGCCCGCAGCCAAAGGACGACCAGCCGGGCTCCTTGACCAGGCATTCCCAGGCCGCACCACTGGCCCACACCATGGTGTGCACGGTGGAGGGGTGCCCGCCCACCTGATGGGGTGTTGCCAGCCTTCTCTCCCCATTTTTTTCTGAGACAATGGGATTGTCTAATGTGGTTGGAAAGAAACTTAGGATTCTTCATTTTACTAAAGAAAGCATCAAAGTGACATCTATGGGACTGGCCCTGGAGCCTAGTGGTTCAGGGAGCCAGACCTCACATGGCCAGCCCTTCATTTCCAATCCTGGCTCTCGTGGCTTAGTAACACATTAGGTGCAGAACCAGCAGATGGCGTAGTGGTTATGTCTCTGGACTCCCATATGGTCCACTGTGGTTTGAGTCTCGGACCCAGTGGCTTGAAACTCAGACTGGGCTCATGTGTGTGCATGCCCAAGATCCATGGAGGAGAAGGGATTGCAGTGTGGCCATTCCCCTTGGGGGGGGGGCTCACTTTCCCTTTCACTGTCTCTCTCTCTGATCAGTGTGCATGCTCTAAGACAAAAACCTCAAAAAAAAATTAATAACACACCAGGTGTGTATATGTATGCATCTCAAGTCCTAGCAGGATGGAAGAGTGGAAGAGAAGGGATTGAGGCATGACCGGGCCCCATTGGAGGGGTGCTCTCTCTCTGCCTCTCTAGCGAGCATCTGTGCTCTCTGGCAAATAGTAAGGAAACAGTGACTTCTGTGAGAGCACACTGTGCTTCCCAGTCTGGTCCCTTGCAGGCCTGGCGCCCTTACACCTTGGCTGTGCTGGCTCGTCACTCATCCATCTGGTCTCTGTCCACCCCCCTCGACTGACCATCTCCCCCTTCATCTTTCTGTCACTGAAGGGAAAAATGAGCTTCCTCCCATTCTCTGTTCTCAGCGCGCCGCCCCATCCCTTAGCCGGTACGGGACCTTTTCAGATACCCAGGCTCTGCTGACGGTTTCCTCAAAGGACAGCGAGTGAGTAAAACATTTCTTCTTTATTTCGGCAACAGGGGATAACAGGATGGAGTCTTCAGAGTTGACTCCCGAGCAGGAAATTTCCAGAGGATTGAGGTCATCTGAAAGGACACAAGGGGGACTCTCTGGGGTGGCCCCTGGGGGACCAGAGGCTGGAGATGCCTGTGAAGATACTTTTGAGGAGCTAGACGGGCAAACCTCAGATAAAGATGGGAGCAGACTGGAAAGTGATTTCTTAGAAAGGACCAATGAGGATAAGAAAAAATCCACCAACGACAGATGTGAGGGACCTGAGGAGGCAGAGGAGCATCTAAATCTGTCCTCCAGTCCTGATGAACATCAAGGAGTCCTGAAGGGACAGAAGATCTATGAGTGTGATGAATGTGGCAAGGTTTTTCATCGGAGTTCCCACCTCATTGGCCACCAGAGAATCCACACTGGAGAGAAGCCTTTTGAGTGTAACGAGTGTGGTAAGTCCTTCCGGCAGACCTCTCAGCTAATCGTTCATCGCAGAACCCACACTGGGGAGAAACCCTATGCATGTAGCATGTGCGGGAAGACCTATCGGCACAGCTCTCACCTCATTCAACACCAGCTTCTCCATAATGGGGAGAAACCATATAAATGTAGGGAATGTGCAAAAGCGTTCACTCAGAGTTCCCAACTTACCGACCACCAGAGAACCCATGCTGGGGAGAGATCGTATGAGTGCAAGGAGTGTGGAGAGGCATTCATTCGGAGTAAAAGTCTTGTCCGACATCAGGTCCTCCACACTGGTGAGAAGCCTTACAAGTGCAGTGAGTGTGGGAAAGCTTTCTGCTCCAATAGAAACCGTGCTGACCATCAGAGAATGCACACCGGGGAGAAGCCTTATGAGTGTCATGAATGTGGCAAGGCCTTCAGTCGGAGTAAGTGTCTGATACGACATCAGAGCCTCCATACGGGGGAAAAACCATACAAGTGTAGTGAGTGTGGGAAGGCTTTCAATCAGAACTCTCAGCTTGTTGACCATGAGCGAATTCATACTGGAGAGAAACCGTTTGAATGTAGTGAGTGCGGTAAGGCGTTCAGCCTGAGCAAATGTCTTATTCGGCACCAGAGGCTTCACACAGGTGAGAAGCCCTATAAATGCAATGAGTGTGGAAAATCCTTCAATCAGAACTCACACCTCATTATACACCAGAGAATCCACACTGGCGAGAAACCCTATGAGTGTAACGAGTGTGGGAAGGTCTTCAGTTACAGCTCCAGCCTCATGGTACACCAGAGAACCCATACTGGAGAAAAACCCTATAAATGCAACGATTGTGGGAAAGCCTTCAGTGACAGCTCACAGCTTATTGTGCACCAGAGAGTTCACACCGGAGAGAAACCCTATGAATGTCATCAGTGTGGGAAAGCCTTTAGTCAGCGCTCCACTTTTAATCACCACCAGAGAACTCACGCTGCAGAGAGGCCCTCAAGTCTGGTTCAGTCTGTTTTTTAAGGTGTGCATCTCTGAGACAGAAAGAAAGGAACTTTGAGTTAAGCTTTCTCTTTAACAAGGTTGCTTATCCTGATCTCCTCTTGTTTCCGCTAATTAAAGTGGTTCATTTCCCACCTGCTTTCTGTGGGCAACAAAAGTGGGAGAGTGGGAGTGACAGTGCAGCACTCCTACCGTGGGGAAAGCATGTCCTATACATTCCATTTACTTAAAGGTTGTTTTTTTTAATTATTAATTTAATTTTATTTGTTCATTTATTTTAATTTGACCAGAGAGAGACATGCAGAGAGAGAGAGAGATTGGGAAAGTGAGAAAGCAAGCCACCAGGTCCAGGACTCAAACCGTGGTCAACCATGTGGGAGTGTCCAGTGCCTTAACCTCTATGCCATCTGCTGGTCCCCATTTTTCTTTCTTTTTGGAGAGATTTTCACTGTAGGGCGCGTGCGCTCACCAGACAGACAGAGAGAGACATAGAGACAGAAAGCGAGAAATCACCCCCCAGGGGGGATGGTCACGCCGCAATCCCTTCTCCTCCATTCTCCTCTCGGGATCTTGGGCATGCACGCACACGCGCCCGGCGTGAGTTTTAAGCCACCGGGTCCGGGACGTGAACTGCGGTCGACTACGTGGGAGCCCAGCGACATAGCCATTATGCTAACTGCTGGTTCCTCCCATTTTTCTTTAATGTTTTAAATTCTTACTTGTGGTAGAGACCAGCAGATGGCATCTCTCTGTGTCTTTCTGGAGTGCCTACGCCCTATAGCAAAAACCTCTCAAAAAGAAAGAAAGAAAGAAAGAAAGAAAGAAAGAAAGAAAGAAAGAAAGAAAGAAAGAAAGAAAGAAAGAAAGACAGAAAGAAAGAGAAAAAGAAAAAACAAAAACAAAAAACAAAAAAACCCTTACTGGTGGGACCAGCAGGTGACATAGTGGTTAAGGCACTGGACTCCCATATGGTCAACTGCGGTTTGAGTCCTAGACCCAGTTGTTTGTGCTGGGCATGTGTGTGCGTGTGCCCAAAGTTCCAAGAGAAGAATGGAGGAAAAGGGATTGTGGCATGGTCATCCCCACTAGGGGGATGATTCTCACTTTCTCTCTGTCTCCTGTCTATCCACCGAGCCCATGTGCCTTATATAACAAAAATCTCTCGGAAATCTTATCTGTATGCATCCCATAATCAGATTGAATGCTTCTCAAGAGCAGTGATTATACATCTTTTTTGTTCTGTCGTAGCCCCTCTATTTCAACACTTCCATAAAGTGGAAATTGTATAACTCTTCTATAGTAGCTGCTAGTTAAAACCATTTTTTAAAGAATTATTTTATTTAACTTTATGTTATGTTATTTATTTTTAATTTGACCAGAGAGGGACAGAGAGAGAAAGAGAGAGGGGGGAAAGTGAGAAATCAAGCCAGGTCTGGGGTTTGAACTGTGGTCAGCCATATGGGAGTCCAGCACCCTTAACCACCACGTCACTTGCTGGTCCCGTTAAAGCCATTTTTAAGTCATTCAAGAAAACTTTCCTCCTTCGTTGCTGTGTCCTCCATGTGTACTTTCCAAACCTATGCTAATCTGTGGCCTGCCATTTTTTGTGTTCTCTATCTAGGAAACCTTTTCTTCCTGTTTGCTAATCTGTGTCACTCATGACTTTCAAGATCGCTCTCATCTCTGAAAGGCTCTCTTTTTTCTTGATTCTCTCTACACTTCTGTTGATTTAATCTCAGTGCTTTGATTAGGTGGTACTACAATTATGTACCACGTTAAATTGCCTTGTAGGTTCTCAACTTACTATGTGTGTGTATGCTTATAAACCAACTTGTAAGCTATTGAAGTCAGATATGGTATCTATTTCTTTTGGCATATAGGCAATGGTTTGGGTGTAGTAGTTCTTAAATAATTTTAAAACTCAACTCTGAAATTGACCCATCATTAACACGGGCACAGTCTCTCTCCCCAAGACCCTCACATCCACTGGACTTCAAGATCCTAAAGATGGAAATGGCATGTCAGTATAGAATATGACATACAAAAGCCTTGTTGATATCTTCCATGTCCACCACTGGAAGTCTTACTACTGGTATTTCAGTTTTAAAGAACTAATGAATTTGTGATGTTGAGTGTTTATCAAATGTTGGGTTGGGCAGTCAAATCCCACTGATAGGGACTTTGCCCTGTACACTGATGTTGGTTTTGAACTAGCTGACTGCCTCCTGCTTCCTAAATAAATTTTGCAGTGAAATCTTAAGCAAGAGGGCCAGTTGGTGGCTTGGTTAAGGCAGCTAGATTCCACATAGCCAACTTCACAGTTTGAGTCCTAGACTTGGTGCCTGAAAAACACTTTGTACATGTGCATGCATACCCAAAATCCTCAGAAGGGAAGGGAGAATGGAGAATGGTGGTGTGGCCATCCCCCAGGGGATGTTCTCTCTCACCCTCGCTCTGGCTCTCCAGCAAGTATAGGCACCCTTTGGCAAAATTAGAAAAAGAATTTACTGCAAGGAAGACTTGACTGGGAACCAGCAGTTAGCGTAATGGCTATGTCGCTGGACTCCCATGTAGTCGACCGCGGTTCACGTCCTGGACCCGGTGGCTTAAAACTCACGCCGGGCACGTGTGCGTGCGTGCGTGCCCAAGATCCCGAGAGGAGAATGGAGGAGAAGGGATTGTGGCGTGACCATCCCCCCCCGGGGGGTGATTTCTCGCTTTCTGTCTCTATGTCTCTCTCTGTCTGCCTGGCGAGCGCACACGCCCTATAGTGAAAATCTCTCAAAAAAAAAAAAAAAAAAAAAAAAAAAAAAAAAAATTTAATTTTTTGGGGCAGCTACTTTAATTGGATTTCTGTAGTTAAACTCAGAGATTAATTTCTACCCTCAAAGTACAAGCCAGCTAGCTTACCTTTTATTCCACCTTAAACATATTTCTGTTTGCATGAATGAATATCATTTCTGACCCATGCTTGGCCAGCTCACCAGCTCACCAGCTGCAGCTAACAATCTTTAACAATCTTTTCCCAAGGATGTGAACTCACTGTGGTTCAATCCTTAGGAAAACTTTGCTTAGAGAAATAGAATTAGAGAGGATTACCTCAAGATTAACTAGCCCTTTATTCTTCTTAGAAACTCCTGACATTTATCTATCCCTGGATTAAGCCAGATTCAAAAAAAAAAAAAAAAAAAAAAAAAAAGAGAAAGGAAGACTTGACTTTCATGGGTAAGGTAGTAATGATTGAAAATTCCAGCTATAGCCATTCCTGGATGATTGATGTTCACACCAGTAAGGTTTATAGCGAGATAATAGAGACAAACTGAGATCTTTTCCTTATCAACTTAACTATCTGCCTACCACTGCTGTCTTGGTTTTAAGATGAGAGTTCTACAGTTAATTATCTAATGGACCGTCTTTCATCCCCTGAAGATATAAGAAACCAGAAATGTTTCTCATGTGATTTTGTTTCTACAGCCATACATGCATCATGAGTTTAAACAGCTTTTCTCTTCTTAAACAACTGGGCAATAGAGCCCCAGTGCCTGGAGACCTTTGCCTCTGGTTTCTACCCCTTCTCTTCCCATCATGAAATGTCCTCTTGCCAGAATAATAAGCAACAGTGTGGCAAAGGCAGAGGAGGAAGTTCAAAGAGCAAGGTCAGATATTTACCTGGAGAGGAGTTTCATAAACTTGATTTATAGCTCAGGCAATGGAAAAGAGAAGACAGTCGAGGCTCAAGAAAAAAATGTATTTCTGGGAAGGATATCTCAAGACAAAATTAGAATGTTTATAGGGTCCTTTAAAAAGTACTGAACACAGGGTAGAACTGGAAGTTTGCCATTTGTCTTAATCTGTTCTTTTATTTCCGAAAGGAATATCTGAGACTGGGTAATTTATAAAAATAGAGATTTATCTGACTCATGATTCTGGTGGCTGCAAAGTCAAAGGCATCACAAAATGACAGAAGACAAAACCTTGAGACGAGTACAGGATGATCTGTCTCCTTGTGGGCCTCTGAGTACCTCATTTCCCTTCCTTATAAACTCACCAGGGCTCAGTCATGGGGTTCTTGCCCTAACTGCAATCACTAATTTACCCCAGAGGTCCCACCCTCCAACACAATAATTGGGTCAAGTTTTTCCCTTCATAATCCTGTTATAGTGACTCAGCAACACATTAATGGGGTGGGGGGGCATATCTGAGTCATAGCATTCTGCCCCAGCCTCCAAAATGCATGTACTCCCACACAAAATCATCCCAATGGTCCCAAGAGTCTCAGGTCTTTCCAACACCAACTCATATTCAGGGTATCAGTTGAGCTCAATAAACACCTTCCAGCTGAGCCTGTGAAGTTTAGACAACTTACATCCTCCCAAAATACAATGGCTGAACAGGTACAGACCAGAAATGTCCATCCCACAAGAAGGAAGGAGTAGCAGTAGCCCCAAGAGACCATTCAATCTTGAGATTCCATTTTATCTTGGATGTGGAGAGGGGCTTGGGCAGCCTTGCCCTGGCCTTCCTGACTTCCATCCACGCTTTAGCTCTTGCTGGTGAGAGTCTTCTGTCTGCGGTTCTCTGGCTGGTGCTGCATGTTGGTAGCTCCACAATCCTGGGGTCTCAAGGGCAGTCATGCCTCAGTGGTTCCACGGCTTTGTTTTAATGGAGAGTACTTTAGCAGACCTGACCCCACATTTCTTCTCGACTGTGTCTTAATGGAAGCTCTTTGTAGTGGTTCTGCCCCTGTGATGAGACTTTGCCTAGGCCCCTAGACTGTCCAAGTCCATTCTTTGGAATCTCCATGGAGGCCTGGGTGCTGGTTTTGTGTGCCCCAGGGGTGGGAATGAGGGTTTCCTGGGGAGGCAGGAGTTCTGGGACCAGCCCCGTCGGAGCTGGCTCCCTGGTCGAGGGGTACCTCGGGGAGGCCTGGGGGACACCCTTCACCCACGCCGGCCTGCTGGGTGTTCCATTCCCACGGGTGCGTTGGATCCTTCCTCTCCGGAAGCAGAGAGGGCTCCAGG